GTGTGTGTGTGTGTGTGTGTGTGTGTGTGTGTGTGTGTGTGTGTGTGTGTGTGTCAAAAGAAACGGAAATGACAGATTTTCGTCTGCAGCGTGAAGCGAACTCGTAAGTGTTGGAGAAGGAATGCATACTTTTAGATTAAAAGAAATTTAAGAATAAGTCTATTGGTAGATATATGCTTTATTAACTAATAACCATCAATCGTTTGAAATGTTTTTCTTCACTAATCAGAGCTCGGTTATAGTGAGCGGAATCGCACAGCACTTGAATGCAGCATCACATCTGCAGATGGGACACTGCCTTCACGCGCGGGACGCTGTGATGCATTCAGGACCCGCCCTCCTCCTGCACTTGTCAAAGGGGACTGATCGCAAAATTACATCACACTTCTAACCTAAGACTCACGAGCAAACAACACCAGATTAAAACAAACGCCTGAAACTAACGCAGGGACATTTTTGTTAAAATGCTTCCTTTTAAGAGAACTTTTGAAGTCGAAAAACACCAGCTGCAAGAGCTCAACAGCAGACTCGCCCGCTATCTGTCCAGAACCAAGCAGCTGGAAGATGAAAACGCGCATCTCCTGGCTGAGCTCAGTAAGCTGAGGCAGGTGAGAGGGACGGAGCAATGGGAGCAGAAGTGCAGGGCGGAGGTGCGGGACCTGCGGAGAATGGTGGACCAGCTGTCCTTCGAGAAGTCCCGGGCCGAGATGGAGGGGGAGAAGCTGCGGCGAGAGCTGCAGACGGCCCGGTGTCTGTGCAGCGAACAGACCGAGGTGTGTCGGGACATCGACGGGGAGCTGAGAGGCTGCGAGTCGGAGCTCCGGCAAGCTCACAAAATCAACAGCGACCTCCAGCAGCGGCTCGCCCAGCTTCAAAACGAGTACAAACGCCTGGAGGGCGCGCACAAGCACGAGGTGAGCCTTCTCCGGCGTCAGGTGGAGTCCCGGGCGGCGCCCCTCGTCACGCAGACCTACCGCGGCCCCTCCGTGGTCTCCGTGGAGGAGGTGCAGGAGTACGCCCGCGATCTGTCCGAAGGCTGGGTGGAGACGTTCGAGATGTACCAGCAGCAGGTGGAGGGCATGGAGCTCGCCATCAAAGCGGACCAGGCGAGGCTGGGCGACCTGCAGAGGGAGAAGATGCTGTACGCCTCGCAGCTGGATAAGCTGCGCGCGGAGGCGGAAAAACATGGCCAGGTTCAAATGCGACTGGAGGAGCAGCTGACGAAGATGCAGGAGCACTTCCGCGTGGACCTGGGTGAACATCAGGTGAGGAAGAGTGCAGTTAAACGTGCATGTGCTTCAGGGAATGCAGACCTGTTGTGTTTGTCCATATGAGCCCCACTGCCACACCCACTGACGGACTGCAGCTGTCCAGAGCTGCAACGGATCAATTATTAATCGTCTGTTTCCTAACTCCAAACAATCCTCAAAAAGCTTACATTCCAGTCTAGGCTTAAACGCTGAATTTATATGGCATCTTTAAAGTTTAAAGGTACTCACTCCTTGTTACACTTCCTTTGTTTTTGCTCCCACTTGCATGTTTGAGATCAAGACAAATGTTAAAACAATACAGAGATGACCAGAAGAAACACAAAAGGCAGTTTTTAACTGATTTCTAAACCTCATTTCCTAAATCTAATAACTGGTTATTTTCTGACAGTTGCAGTCAATCATTTGCAATAACTGGCAGTAAATTTCAAGGGGACATATCACTTTTTTATTTATTAGAGGAGTGCAGAAAAAATGTAATTAAGGTTCTCCCGATGCGATATAGCTTTATATTCTGTTCAGTTTTATCCATTTTCTATGAAGTTTCTAAACTATTACATGACAGACTTTGCGACAGAACTTCTGTTGTCTTCATTCTCCTCTCATCTGGGTCAGACTCTGGGTCCAACATGTAAGCTGGATCTTCCCTTATTGACATCTTTTAATTAATTTTTAAATAAGTTTTTGCGCCACTATATAGTCGTAAACCCCTCTATCAAACAATGCACCACTCTGGCAGGTGGAGGGGGGCAGGGTGTGAAGTGCCTGCTTTGGAAACAGTATCAAAACGAGTTGATCTGAGACACATCTCAGAAAAGGGGCAAACGAAGGGCTTGTTGAGTTACAATAAGAAGGAATTCAGACCAAAGCATTGCAGTTCCAGTTTATATAGACCCCAAATGAATGATTTAAAAGCAGGATATGTGGCTGCAAATGAGTTTTGCTGGTGTTCTTTGATTGTAGCTAAACTTAAGCTCAAGCTCTCTTAAGTTCTGCAGTATGGGAACAAACTGTTGGCCGGACTTTCTCCAAGATTTTTTTGGTCGAGAGCAGAGTTCATGGTTCCATCGATTAGTCGTCCAGGTCCTGACGCAGCAAAGCAGCCCCAGACATGGTGGTCTGGAATGCAGTGTTAGTTCCCCACCAGATATAACAAGACACACACCTTCAAAAAAAGGTCCAGTTTTGTCTAGTCCATCCAAAGAATGTTTTTCCAAAAGTCTTTGGGAATGGTCCGTCAAAGTGTTTATTATAACATGTGTGAGCGTCCTTTGGTTGTGTTGAGCAGTGATTTCCTGAACACTCCCCTTTTTGCTCTCTCACTCTCATTCTTATTGTCGAATCATGAACTCTATTAACTGAAGGAGGTGAGGCCTGCAGGGTTTTAGAAGCTGCTCTGGGTTCTTTTGGGACCTCCTGGATGAGTCGTCAGCGAGGCCGTGGAGTCATTTTTGGATATTGGGAAGATCCACATTTGTTCCATGTTTTCTCCATTTATGGATTAAAGATGTGATAAACCAGTAATCAGGACTGGATGTGGCAGTGAGATTGTACTCAGCTTTCAAAAAAATATGGTTGATCACTGTTAAATCATGATTTAACAAGGAGATGACAAAATGTCACTTAGGGCCAAGTTGAGCTGGAAAGCCATTTTTCCTTAATAAATTAAATCTATTTAAAAACTGTTTTGTAGTTACTCAAGTTATCTTTGATATTAAAATGGTTCTCTGATCTGAAACACATAAATGGGATATGAAGAAAAGCAAAACAAAGTGAAGAAATCTTTAAGGGGGCCAATACTTCTCTCACATTATCAATAAGAATTTGAGTTCCCATAACGGCCAAATACACCTTAAAAGGCAATATTTGAACTGTGCATAAAAGGACTGACTCACTGGCTGGCCGTCTCTAGATTTACAGTCGCTGGATTACTGCAGCCACTTAAACCGATTAGCTGTCAGACTGATAAATCCTTATTAGTCTCCTAAAAGTGGTGGAGGCTGGAAGCAGGGAGGCCAGTTAGAAAAGATTGTGATGACCTCCCTCTGCATGACTTCCTTTGTCACTAAATAGTCTTCAGTAAAATAAGAGAATGGAATTCAATGTGACAAATAAAGATTATAACTATAACAAGTTTTCTCTGTCTAGATGATTATCGAGCAGCTCGAGCATGAGAGGAATGTGTTGCTTGGTGCTTTGGAAGAAAAGATGAGAGAACATCAGCACCTTCTTCAGGTGAAGATGGATCTGGGCATGGAGGTGGCTGCTTACAGGTGATCAGTTTTTGTTTTCTGTTGTCCAGTCGAATGAAACAAAAGCAAGGACATTATGAAAGCTATTGAAGTTATTTTAACTCAAATTGAGTTGAAATATTAACTAAGGAAAGCTTTATTTTAAATTTATTTGAGTGTATGAATACATAAAACAGAAACACAGTTTTATAATAATTTTCTGGGTTTAAGCAGGAAGTTTGCTTTATATGAATTATAAAAAGACTGTTGAAATTTAGCTTCAACCTGTTTTTTATTTATTCCATAATAAAAAAAGAATCAGTTGTCCACTTCCTGAATTAATAATCTTAAAAATGAATTTATTTCTGTGCTTGCATAGAAATTTTGCTTTAAACCTTTTTTGATTTTTTACCAAAATCATCAATAAACAAAGTATATTTTTGTGATCACCCTTGTCTCATATCGCAAGGCAGATAAAATGACCTCAATGGAATTAAAAAATTAACAGATACTGTAAAAACAGTCTACATGATCATGTGTATTCTTGACTAGGAAGTTTGGTTGGTTTTGAATTTTTGGATTACATAGGGGTGGGGGTGGGTGGGTCACTCAGATGTAGCAGTTGTATTTGTTTTACAAGTGTCACGAGTTTGTGTTTGCCATGCCTATTCATTATAGAGAAGAGTCCGGCCAGGCCAGCCCATCACTGTCCGTGTTATTTTTAGATCAGTCTTTGGAAAGGCACTCTCCAGAAAGGTTGTTCTTTTATAGAGGGACTTGGGTTTGTTTGTCAAGGAGAGGTGAGCTTTTTAAGCTAAATACAACAAAGTTTTGACAACCGTATATCTTGATCTGCTTTTGATGTTTGCTACCTTATATGGGCACGTTCAGGACTCATACAATCTTGTAAGCCAGTTGAGCTTAGTTTGAGGGGGTTGAAATGGCAGAACTGAATGACGTGCTTCATTTTGTGAGGTAATTATTTTTTACTTTTATTTTATTTCTACTAAGACAATGCCCTGGTTCATTTGCTAGAAAATTTTGTCTTCTCCTGTCTCTGATAGGACTCTCCTGGAAAGAGAAAGTGTTGGTCTGCATGATGCTCACAGGAGGGTGAATCAACATCAGAGGGAAAGAATAATAGGTACTATATTGAACTTATGTAATCACAATAAAAACATTCCAAAACTAGATTCTACCAAGTTAACAGAGACTAAATACTAATTTTTTTATGCTTCAGATATCAAGTTGCCTGCCCAAACCCGCACTCCAAGAATGTCTACCTTAACCACAAGGCAACATATGGATTTCCATTATACATCACCAGCAAACCTGAAAAGATCCCCCGTGCCTTCTTCTGGGTCCATAAGTCCCTCCAGGAACATTCCTATTTCAGCTGCAGAGAGAGCTCGCCATCAGAGCCCGGCATCCAGAAGGGACATGATCTCGTTCAACAAAGCTCGGGCTGCCGCTCCAGCCCCTGCTTCCACCGCCACCAAAGATAAACAACTTGGTCAGAGTCAAAATGTGGCAGAGGAGCAAATTATGAAACTCAAACAGGTATCAGAGGAAAGCCAGATCAGCACTACAACTGAGAACAAATCAGTAAGAGTGACATCACTGCCAAAGTTGAGCCTCAGCACAAAAAATGAGACAGAAAGCAAAAGGCAAGTGTCAGATGAGAAAGAGAAAGGCAGTGATCGTGATGAGTTCAAAGATAAAGAGAGAGCAGAGTCTTTCCCAGGCTCAACTGAGAAAAAAATACTAGACTCTGTATCAGTAGAGGAGATTATCGAGAAAGTGATTAAACCAGCAGGTTTAGAGGATAAGGCCTGTTCATCGGGAGACTCAAAGGTCAGTTACCATGTGGAAAAAAATGAGCAGGACGATGGCACCACCCAGACGAAGATTGTTCTGGAGTCTAAGGTGGAGGAAGAGCTGGATGTTTCTGAGGGCTCTGCCCTGGAAGAACTTCTGAACCAAGGTGCAAAGAAAGTGTCACTAGAGGACATAGAGGATACAGCAACAGGAAGCATGATTAAGAATTTGCTGAGCAGTATTCAAGGAGAAAACTTAGAAAATAAGTCTGTCAAAGTGGAAATCATCGAGGAACCCATCGAGTCTCTCAGTGATGAAGAGCTACGGGTTGAAGGGGAAAAAGAATCTATCGGTAGTTTTACTGAGCCGTCAACATACTTTCAAATTGAGGAGATAGACCATCATGTTCATCAAGAAGAAAAACATGAAACTGAAGAGATGGTATCCTCCCAAGGAGCCAGAAACCAGTCCAGTGGTGGATTTGTGCAAGTTCAGGAGGTCTTTAGAGAAAGTGAATCTCCACAGTTCTCCCAAGATCAAGAGTTCCACGAGTATTTTGTGTCCACACCGGATGAGAACCTATCAGAATCTGAGGAGGGTGGAGGGATAATGTCATATGGTCATTATGGCATTGTAGATGACCTGTCAGATGAAAGGTATTATCAAGATGAGAGCCTTCCCCAGCAAAGCGTGATTGTAGAGGAAAGTGACAAACACAAGTCAGGAAAACCCTCATTCCCCAAAGAGAATTTTCCAGAGTGCATCATTGAAGAAGAGGTTCGTGTTTCCCCTATAGTGCAAGAATCGGTGCTTGAGTTCCTGAGAGAGGACTCCTTGGAGCCCAAAGAGCAGCTGAAGGGAGCTCTGGAGACATTACAAAGTTCAGTGTCGGGTCCTCTGAAAGAGGAACTTTCTTTCCTCACAAAACTGAGCAGAGAAAGTCCAGAGAATGTGGAGGTCAGAAAAGTTGAACAGTCAAGCAACAATGGAACCATGACGATAGTTGCAGAGCTAAATGTCTCTCAATCCCTTGAAGAATCTGGACTGCTGGAGGAAGGAGACGATATTTCTGAAGAGCAGATCATGAAAGCTCTAAGAGCGTCTAACTTGGATATCGAAAAAGCCTTCCAGGGTGGGTCAGGAGCTGGGTACACTATCAGAGTTTCCGAAGAAGAGGAGGAGGTTGCTCATTTTGGGGATTTTGAAGGCTTCGGTGACACTGAAGCTTCTTCATCTCAGATCACTGAAAAACACATCAAACTGGAGCCATCAGAGTCCTCTTTCACTTTTCAAACGGATGGTCAGGGCGGACAAGCTGAGGCAAGCTCAGAGCAGGAGCTGCAGCCTCACGTTTTGGAATCCCCAGTGAGGGTATCTCATGAAAAACGAGTTGCAACAGTTTTCCTTGAAGGCCCTTTAGACTAGAGGAAGCAAAATATTCAGAAAACATTTTCAAGCAGCTAATCTAATGCAACAGACGTGAAGCTGTAATACCAGTTCTAATCAACACAATGCTGATTATGTCTGCAAGCAAAGGTATCTAAATAAGTTGTGCACTTTTACAATACCAAGTTAGCTTTCATCAAACCACAGAGCACTAACAAATAAGATGAAGCTAGGGATGAAATATCTAAATGCTGCGGTGATGTTTTACAGCTGGAAGTGCTGATACATGTTTCTTTATTTGATCTTCACATCACATCCATGTTATCTCCAAATAAGGTTTGTTTATTTTTTGTAAGTTTTTTGTTAGTTTAAACTGTTCTGCTGAGTTTGAACAACAGATATTTTAGTTATCACCATCAGCTTAGCCATTCTTTCACAAAGACATTTACCATAATGTTGAGTCGTCTGGATCAACATTTAATGCAGACCAACACAGGTCACATGGAGTCATGAGGTGCTTCTGCTACATTTGCAGATTGGAGTTTCAACCATTTTTGTGCCTTGGGCTCCTTTTACAAAACAGAATGATGTCAGTACATATAAAATGCTGAAAAATGTTTAATTTAGGAAGAAGTCACTAACATATAGAGAGTCTAGTAAAGCTTGTAGTTAAAGACTGTTGTGGGAAAGGGAAAACTATGTATTTTAGTCAATAAGGCATAAACTAACTTTGCTTAATATTCTAGATTGCATATCTCTATAAACATAAGATGTGTATTTTTCATTAACTGTGAAACTAAGACATTTATTCAACCAATTTTAGCAGCCTAAACATTTTTGGTAATGTATATTTTTACAAGTTACAGTACAATATTTGCATAACCAGTGAACATTTAGGTTTTAATAGGTAATTTGGAAATTAATATTTAAAACTATAGTACAGACATTCAAAATTAAAAGTAAATTTGAAAACTCTGGGAAAAAAAGTTGGATTGCAGAAAGTGAAAATGGTAAAAATGTAAGCGAACTGCTTTTGTTGTTGGTTGGTTGCGGCACTGTTTTGCTTGTTCACATTTGTTCAGTATCACAGTGTTGGCACACAGATTTCAACTTTGCTCTGACCGAAGAGTGTATTTACGACCGACACTATTTTCGGCTCATTGGCTTAGTGGCACCAAGTCTTCACTAAGGTTTGTTGTGTTGTGTACTGTTTGCAAAGTCAGAAGTGAAACACTGTGACTTCAGTCTGGTGATATGTTTAGACCTTTTAAACTTTTCCTACGAGTGTTTTTACAAATCACTAAAATGCAATATTTCACACAAACGCAATCTGTGTTTCAGAGACATGTGATGCAATGTTTTTAGAAGCATTCAGTGTGTTTAGGTGCAGATACAACAATTCTACATTCTTTCAACTGTTATTTGAATAATGTGCCAATTTGAAGAATAAACAATTTAATATAATCTATTGATATATATAAAAACTGAGACAATGTTTAATGAATGTGGAATGGACAAAGCATCTTTTGTTTGAATAATTTCTGTTTAATGAAAAAATTTGGCTAAAATGGATGAATACTACATCATTAAAAGATACTGTGGGAATGTTTGGTTCGAGTTTTTCTTTCACATTACATAACAGAAAATACAAACTGATTTTAAAAAGTGGTTCTCTGTAGAGTTATTTACAAATCAATGCATATTTATATCTGATGACTCAAACCAACATTTTAGTCAGACATGGAGTTTTTCATTGTTACCCCTGGATGGTATAACTGTAAATGTGTCAGACTTTTTTTTTCCTTCTGGCTTGTCTCTGCTGCCTCTCGACCACCTCTGTTGTCCTGAAAACCAAATAACAAATGATTGCGTCACTAAAACATGAAATATATTCTTCAGTCTATTTTTAAATACTAATACTTAAAAAGGTTGTTGACTGGCTGTGTAAATTTAAGTATGTTAAACTCGATTTAGCTGTAAATGTAACATCTCTTCTGATTACCTCTCCAGCATGTCCACAGCTCTCTGCACAGCTTTTGCTTTCTTGTGCTGAGGACCGTGTAACAAGCTCTGAATCTTCAGGCACTAAAATTAAAAACACACAAACAGTGAGAGAGATAGGACGAAGACGAGAAGAGCAACTTATACTCAGAGAGGATGAAACACATCCTAGCAACATTTGGATGCACTAAACATACCAAAATAACCACTGTAGCAGTCCGAGTGATAGACAACACCTGTGCCGATAACTCTGGAGTGTCAAGTAAAACAAAACGGATCGGCCAGAAATTTGATGAGTGCACAAAATCAACACCTCAAGAATATATTGTATGTAACATGGCCACATATGAAAAACAAGCTATAATTGCTTGAAATCTACGATGTCATGAAAATTTCCAAATTCCAAGCACAGAAAACTTAAAACATATGAAGATGATTGCACATTTTGACACAACATGAGAAAAAAACTGCCTTCTCTTTTCTGAAATCATCACAAATAACAAGAAGCAAATGTTTAAAGCAGGAAAGAGGGAGGGAACAGCTTTCCTCTTCACTGGGGAAAGCAAAACAAGGGTAATCTGGAAGACATCCATCTGGCCTCTTGGATGTTTTCACTGTTGCTATGGCTGATGTAATGGAAGGCCTTTTTTTCATCTGTACTTCACAGGAAGAAAGAGGGAAAAGTCTCATGTGTCTCTGTGCACCATTGTTCTTTGTTTTTAGTACCGCTTGTGTCATGTATCCACTGTAAAAGCAAGTTGTTTTCTTTTAGAGACGCAAGGTTACTCAGTCAGAGTACAAGTGGTGCCACGATGACAGGAGTAAACAAATTAAAACCCTGACATATCCGCCTGGGGGTAAAGACACTTCGGAAAGGTTACAAGTTGGATGGGGTGCAGATATAGGTCTGTCATACTTGGACCCCCTTCTGAGCTCAGATAGCAACAACAAAGCAACATAGCAACTAGAGTGCTAGACTTAGAAACAAGTCTTTACTTGAATAAAGCTATAGCCCTTTTCTTGTGCATATTACTGAGGTGGGAGAACTGAGCTCGTGGCAAATCTGAAATCGTACAGCATGACTGAAACCCCACTGTTCATTATATAATATGTCATGAATGTCAATTAAAATACGGATAATAAAAACTATATTTAATTACCAAAAAAAGATGTTTGTTAAATGCTTATTGCAAGGATGAGCAACTGGTGGTCCGCGGGCTGGATGACTTCAGTCCAGCTTGCCAATGAGACCCCAATCTAATGTTTTTTTTTCTAATAAAAGAAAGAAAAAAAGAAGTTTTATTACATTTGTGTAAGTGTGCAGCATGTGGCCCTCTGGTAGTGTCAACAAAAAATTGTTGTCCTTTCCATAAGTTTCCCACCCCTGGCTTATTTGATGAAAGATACACGAATGTCACGGGACGTACTGGCATATGGCTCTAATTGGGGTCAGTATCTATAAGTTACTGAATTTAGCAAAGCACCTTTCTCTTTCCAAAGTTACATCGCCCATCTGGCAGGTTCAAACCAGTCTGAAGAAACACAAAGTCACTCTGTGTGATATTTAACACCAGAGAGGGAAGCTCTGCACACTGCAACCCTTCCAAGATTAGCATGCAATTCTGATAACACTGAGCTCTTTAGAGATGGTGGAAATAGCTCATCTCAAAATGACAGGGACTCTTTTGTGTGGCCTCTTGACCGGCCTGTCACCACATCTCTGCAGCAGGCATGCAAACCTGCCCCACTCCTGGCCTTTTATTAAAACCTTCTCTAACAGTTTGGCAGGGACATTATCCTGTCATATCATACAGCAGTCCTATGCAACATGTGGTTACCTTTGTCATGGTTCTGTGGGCCTGGTTCATCTGGCCCTCTGTCATCTCCACACTTCCAATCAGCTGAAGAGTGTCTGCTACCTCAACGCTCAGGTCACCAAATGCAGCTCTTTTAGAATCAAGAGAGGCTCTTTGGATCTCCATGCATTTCTGTTATGATATAATCAATGTTTAGGCATTAAATCTTGATGATGGCACAAAATGAAATGAATCCATAAATAATAAATGCTACTTGACTGAAAGGTTTGCTGAAGGTTCAATTTCCATGCTTTCTTTCAATAAAACATAAAAATCTAAAAGTGTATTTTGTGTACACTTGTAAAGTGTAATATTTCTATTTTTCATTAAAAAAACTCAAGCATTGGAACTTTCTTATTGTTCTTTATAATGATGATTGTGTTTTACCTCCTGCTGTCCATTAATGAGAAGAAAGCGACAGAAATCATCCTGGGCAGTGAGGAAAGCTGGATCCTGCAGGCCTACAGAGCTCCTGTAAGCACTCAGACTCTGTTTAAAGTACTGACCTGCAGCTGCATCTAGAACAGCAAAAAAAAAAAAAAAAGAAAATACACAGAATTAATACAACCATAGCAACAATTTGACAGAATCCCTGATTTTGAAAACTCTCACTTCAACCAAAAAGATCAAAGTCAGAAAGTTGTTTCATTTCCAGATGTGCTCTATAACTTCCATTCATCTCACATTTGTCTTCAAATTGAGAACAAGCCTGAACTTGGCCCACGATGAAGCTTTTGCACGTTTGCTTTCTATAATGTCATCTTAAAGAACCCGTCATATAGAAAAGACAATGAGATAGTCAAACCCTAGCCTCTTGTGTGAGTCACTCAGGCCTCGCCTCTGTTTGTGAATAAACTCACCATTGTGATGGGGCTCTGCTGCAGTAGAAAGGATCATGGCCAGACTGTGGGAGATCTGAGCCCCCTGTAGCCCCTCTGGATTGTGACTCATAGCAATGGCATGAGCCTAGCAGAAACACCCATATGAAATAAGACAGATCATGTACCAACAAAGGCGAGACAGAAATTACCTGACACATCTTGATAGGGACTTAAATAAAAAAAATAAATAAATGTTTGTGTGTTTGTGTGTGGTTTCCTGCCTTGGAGAGATGCTCTATAGCTCGGTCCATATGACCTCTGTCTTGTTCAGTGGCAGCCATGTCTTTATAGATGGCACAAGTTTTCTCGGGCTGATTGCAGTCTTTGAGCAGCTGCAAAGACTTTTTACACTGGTTTAATGCCTCTTCTGGGCGGTTCTGCCTCCTATAGACCCTGAAAACAGAGGAAACAGAGCTGAGAGCCATCTTAAAACAAAACAAAACAAAAAAATCAGAAAGTAGTTTCTAAAATGCCCCTATTTAAAATGTTGATTTATTCAGTTCACAAAAGGTCTCTAAGAAAAAGTTCAGAAAACACACTCTTCAGTTTGTTGTGTGTCTGTCGGTTTTCCTCCAAGAGATAAATGAAGCGTCACATTAATTAAAAACAGCACAGATGCAATATCAGTTTAGTATTTTGCCATGGTTTCTTTTGTTTATAGTATACAAACTGATGCCAGTTATTTCCTCACTCTGAATGTGTTTCATAATACTGCAGTAAATATGACACAAACTAGAAGAAAAAGCTTTAGCTGTTGGTTGCAGCTGAACCCTGATAGCTGCATCAGGAAATGAAGCTTTTTAGCCACTTTGGACTGCATCCACTCACATTTGCAACCGTCTCCTGAGACTCAAAGCACTGATTTTATATTTAAGTGGGTTTAAAATATTATTCCACAATGTCTAACTTGGGGAATGTTTTGGGTAGTGAATGAAAACCAGCCAACACTGCGCAAAGCACCTGTAATAATGTTGCTTTTTCTTCTTACATAAAAGGAGTGTGACAGCAGAGAGTGAAAAAGACAAGATGGCTGCATCATCCAACACAAGGACTCTGGATCCATGAGGCTGCTGTGGCAACGACGACAAACCGTCTAATGGACTCTAAATTTAATTCAGCTCACCAGTAAAAGGGTTGGTCTTCCTCAGAGGGCAAACGGCTCACCGCCATCAAGCACTACAACAACTCACGCTACAGTTCAGTATTTTTAAGCCATCTGACTGCAAATTCAAAGTTTAGCCTGAAAGCAAAATGTAAAATGCAGTTTTAGTAGTATAAGGTTTATTTTAGCACAGTGTGAGAACCAGCAGTCTCAACTTCTCTGCAGCACACGGATTTTAGGTATTTGAGGCTCAGTCGCTTTAAAGTAACAGCAAAGGTTATGGAAACATTACAAAAGCTCATTTCTTCAAATTTTCCCATGAATCTAAGTTTATACTAAAGTGTTCTGACGGAGATTCTTGGTTCCCCACCCCTTAATGTCCACTGGGCAGACGTTTCACATCCTTTTCTGGCTGGCACACCTAGGTTTCTACATCAAGTCCTCATGGACTGAGACAAGACTGCTCTATTTTCTTATTAACTCTGCATCCTTGTGTGCTTCCAGAAAAGCAATATGCCACTTTCTACTCACATGTACAGTCCACAAGGCAGGAAATGAATATAATGAATATAATGAAAGATTCGAAGAGGTGCTGCCAAGCGAGCCACACAGTGTTTGTAAACGTTTCCAGAAGACGTTTGACATACGTTTGCTGAGTTTTATTCAGGAAAATTTGAGAAAATGTCAAAAAAAAAAAAAGTGAGGGGGAAAATACAACTGCTTGTTCTAATAAAACTCACTGAAAAGTTGTTTTTAAAATAATATTTATTATAAAGTGTAGGTATAAACTGATGATAACCTGTAACAAGGAATTCTTTACAATCTAACTGGCTTTGAAAAGCAACCCTCAAGTGTGGTCAAGTATTAAAAGCCAAAAGATTAAATTTCATTGGTAAACCAGTAAAATAATCTAGAAAGGTTTTAGAAACACTTTTTAACAAACAGCAGGTGCATTTTGTATTAAAAAACTAAATACATCCCCTGATAATTGTACAGGTACACAATCCAGTTAGTAATGACAATAAAGGGTTTAAGTATAAATAATTTTTTGTTGTTACTATGAACAACTCCAAAGAAGCAAAGGGAGTCAAGTTTTTGCCTGATTAAGTTGTAGTTACATGTGTTTTCTACTGCAAGTTTAAAACTGTAGGAGTGATGCTTTAGTTCCTTGTATTAATTTGTTTGTTCAAAAATGTCCATTTTAGATTAAAAAATGTGCAAAGTTTTGGTAATTTCTTATTATGAGAAGCTATAAAATAAAACTTTATTTTTATAGAAATATTAGGTTTGAAGATCACAATTTTTTATATTCCTAGCTAGAATATTTCTTCCATTTCCAGCTATTTTCAAAATAATATGCAGAGTGTTTCCTTTGTTAATAAGCTACTTTTGTTTAAAATGCTTCATTTTAACTTAAAGTTCTTTGTACATCAGTTCTGATTAAAAAAGGTACTCACACTGATGAAAGCCATGTAATTAAGAAAATAGAAACTGCATGTCTTTTAAACCACAAATTCTGGATGACACTTACCAAAATCTGGAGGATAGTACTCTAACGGAAGACATTTATTTAAATTTATTTGTCATCTAGCAATAATTTATGAAAAGCAGAACGTAAAACCTGCCAACTTCATCTGCAAATTCATGACAAAAGTCGTAAATCTGAAGCAACAAATGCAGAAAAATTATACAAAAGAGGTAGAATTTGAGACAAAGCCACAGGCAGACTGAAAGGCACACCACATCTTAGTGATCAAATCAGCCCACCTTGATAGTAAAACTAAAACCCTGCACAATGTTTGAACCAGGATCCACAGCTTACATCACTATTCCAGGCTTTGGAGGGAATGTTCCCCTCAAAACACAACAGTGCTGACTGACGGAGCTTTAGAAGCTTGCCAAATTCTTACTCACCACCAACAAAAGAGATTTAGCAAGCTTAAAATCACCAGCCAGGGTCTGCACATTTTTTTCAACTACTCGCAGCATGTCAACAAACACTCTCTGAACCAGATAAAGATGGTATCATTTACAAATTCCACTGAGTATAGTTCAAGAAAATGTCCCATTTAGAAAGCCAACAGATCTTTCAACATATAAAACCAAGGTAAACGGGTCTAAATAAACATTACTGCATTACATTCTTTCCCAGTTGTGCTTCTAATTTCATCTGGAGTGACATGAACTATGACAAGCGGATGCTATTTCCTCTGCTGCCACTCCACATGGTTCCAAAAACAGACCATCCGTCTGCACAGCACATGATACGTCTCCACCCTGATCCCTTAATTCTTTAATCTTTTCCTGAGCGTGTAGTTCTAACCTTGGTGCCACCAAAGAAGACTCCTGAGATCACAAATAATAAAACAGAAATAAATAAATAAACACAATAACGCTGTCATCAGCCTGGAGTAAACAAAGCAACAGATATTCAAAAAAAAGAGAAAAAAATCTCAAAGTTACAGCATTTAAGCAAAACAATATTTTATAACAGTTTTAAGGCCTATAGAGGAAAATAAGCAAGAAATACCACTAACCCCCTTGTTTTCTACTGCTTCGCTAAAACTACAAACACTGCAACCTGACATAAACATGTGGAAGAGAAAGAAACAAAAAACAAACAAAACAAAACATAAAAAACACTGTAGCTTCCTGTAGAGTGTGCTGGATAATTGTGAAGAAAAGTTTAGGTTAGAATTTCTGCAGAAAATAAAAGGGAAATAACGATGTTCATAATAACTAAACAAGTTGTAAAGTTAAAATTAAAAAAGCCCCAAAAGAGGATTTTGTGCAATTTTGCAGGACTCCATCACCACCTTGTGGTCAAACTTACAATAAGTTTTGTAAAGAGACAAAACAAAAACAGACATTTTCCATTTGGGAGGCTGATTATTCTCACTGTAATCATTTTACTTTTATCTTTTTTATTATTAAAAACAAATGTAAACAAGCTTAAACATCGTACAGCAGGTCTGAAAACATGAAACACCCAAATTAATCTGAAAAAAAGCATCAGAACCAGCTCATGTAAACTGAAATACTTCAGATCTCATTAAATTCAGTTCACAAATGTAAGCCCTGTTCTCCACTACAGTACCTGTATAAACCACTGCTGATCTCCAGGCGAGTTTCTCTCTTCTCTTCTTGGTTAATAACATCTTGTTGATGAAGCTCCTCCACGATTTGCTCTGCCTTGAGTAAAGATGAGTCTGCCTCCTCTAAAGTAGAAATGTTAAGAACTATTTCTGATTTGTCCGTACACACAGTCCTGTGTGACACAGGGAGCCCCGAATGCAAAGGATATTTGTCTGTAAGAAGTGAAGCAGCTCCTTCTGTGAGATTCACACTCAGGAGACACAAGAGAACGTCGAGCTTTTCATCTCTGCAGGAAGAGCAGACGGGTAGGTGGTCTCTGGCTTTGATTACGTGTTCCTGAGCCTGCAGCCCCCAACCTGAGGAACACAATAACAAAAAAACAAGAGTAGAAATTTTTGATTTTCGGCTTTTGCACACAAGAAAAACAAAAAAACATTTGTGTCTACAGACACAAATGAATCTTTAAATTACCTTTGAACTGTAAATATGCTTTAGCCAGTCTGGCGTGAGCCTGGGCAAGTTTTAGATGTCTCTCTCCATAAACAAGCCTGGTTAGAGCCACACATCGCACCAGGTCCTGGATGCAAGCGTCAAACTGAACACACAACACAATACTGTTGGACTTGGAATCTTTTTATTGAAATTGGAAAGTTTGTCCAACTTCGGTTCTGGTCTTTTAAATTTGTATATTTATTTAAAAGGTGTGAATTTAATAACTTTGGATTTTAGTATCCAAATGAGACAAAGAAAACATGTATAACATTTTTTATATTCCATAAATCAGGGGTCCAATCCTGGTTTTAAGGGCCACTATTTTGCATATTTTAGGAGTTTCTCTGCTAAAACACACCTGATTTGATTGAATAGATGATTAACAGGCGTCTGCAAAACTTGACAAGGTCATTTAATCAAAGAATCAGGTGTGTTGATTAGGAAAACAAGTAAAACATACATGATTGTGGCTCTCGGGGACATGAAGGATTAGACAATCGTACTGTGTAGACAATATTAAAAGAACATATTTTTTTTTCAAATTTACCTAACATTTCAACACATAATCTCATAATTGGGGGAGATGTGAACTGTGTGCTATCATCCTTCGAACGTAGTACAGTGGGGAAGATCTCTCTTTCTAAATCGGCCCAGTCAATTAATTAATTTCTTAATACCTGTGTGCTAATATTAAAAGAACATATCAGGGGTGTCAGGTTCTGGACGGCATCTATCCAACATCTTTTCCTTGTTTCTCTACTCTCAACACACCTGACTCAGTGATTCAATTAACCTTTTCAAATTCTGTACAAAAAAAATCATCCATTTCTGCCAACCAGGTGTGTTTGAGTAAACTGAACAACGTGGTATTTGACGATTTTTGGAATGTAAATATTGTATACACTATTTAATCCCGAGCAACTTTAAATCAACCAAAACAAAAAGGCCTTCAGTTGTAGCTAATACTTACCCTTTGCTTGTCCTCACTGTCTTGAGCATTAATAGTAAAATATTTAAGCTTTTCTTCGGGAGGCATCATCAGAAAGTCCTTGGAAAATCTCAGTCCACTTGAACAGAGACCAGTAAACACATCTCTGTGTCTGGTTGTAGTTCTCCTGTTTTCAGAGAATCTGTTGTAATACATTAATTAACATGTTTGTCAAATTCGAAGAAATTACATTGGGAAAAAAATACTTTTGGGTTTTGGGGTGGGAAATTAGTTTGGAGCAAGTCGGTTGGAAGACATAACCGAACATGTTTTTGGACTGAACGGAAGGAGAAAACGTACCCAGTCGAGGATACTGGTGAATCTGTCCCTGCTTGACTGTCATCCATATTTACAAACGCTGCAAAATTCTCAACAAGCTGTTTGGTTGCCGTGGTTACAATGCGCGTGTCGCGCTACAATAGCTACCCTAGCATCTGCTGCCGCTGTCCAACAACATGTGACTTTTCACAAAAATAACTTAAGGTCGGGCCTTACATATACTAAAACATCCCTTTCCATTGAATATTGGGATATTTACAATAAACCCTGGAAGCTTGGTTGATCGTTGCTTGCTTCCTGAAGCTCAACGTCTTCTTCTTCTTCTTGTTTATTGGCAGTTGGCAAGCCAACTGTGATGGTGCATTACCGCCACCAGCTGGACTGGAGTGTGAACAGGCAATGAACAGAAAAAAAATATATATATTCTACCTAATAACATTGTTTTTTTTTCCCTCAAGAATGCTAGAATCGGACCTTTTATTTTACTGGCATTACTTCCAAAAATTTTATCAATTACAAAATCAATATGCATGTTATTAATTTCTTTTTTTTAATTGTTTCCTTTCTGAATCATAAGCATTGCATTCCATAAATACATGCTGAACTGTTTCTGGTGAATTACACTTATCACAAAGCCTTGTTAAAAGTTTAACAATAATTTAAAGAGAATTATTAAGGCCTGTGTGACCTGTTCTGATGCGCGTAATTATTTTCTGTTATTCTAGATTTTCCTACTTGTTTTTGAACATTATAAAGGTGTCTACCTTTATCATTTATATCCCAATTTTCCTGCCAGATGTTTTTTAATATATTTACTTATTATCATTTTGCATTCTTCTTTACTTAATGGGATTCGGTAATCAATATTTTTACATTTCAAAGCTTGTTTAGCGAGCATGTCTGCCTCTTCATTACCCTCCACTCCCACATGAGCTGGAACCCAAATAAAATGTACTGATATTTTCCTTAAGTCAAGTTTATAAAGAATAAAATGAATTTGATTGATTATGTCTTTCCTTTTAGAGTTATTTGTTTTGATGCTTATTAGTGCTGCCATACTGTCAGAAGCAATAACATATTTTTGACCATTTTGTTTAGTAATCCATTCTAGACTCATGAGTATTGCTACTAATTCTACTGTATATACCGATAAATTATCTGTTACTCTTTTTTTTAAATTCTATGTTATGGAATGGAAAATACACTGCTGCACCGGTGTGTCCTGATTCTGACCCATCTGTAAATAAAATATCTTTATTCAAATGTTGTTTGTTTATGAATTTTTGTACTAAATAGCTTACTGACACAGATTTACTTTCATTTTTGATAAGTTCAGAGATAGGTCAACTGAGGTATTAATAAATAACCGATAAGGAATACAAGGCCCAACGTGTTTATGTTGCTAGAGGGAAGATAAACACCCGGACACCCAGAAGTGAGGTGTATTCAAGAACACACAGCTCATGCTGACTTTTAAGACAAATGTACAAATCTCGTGTTTGTGCTCCTCTGTTGGTAGTCCCCAGCATTGTCCTCATGGATTAAAATAAAAAAGGTGAGGTTCCAAAATATAGTGAGTAAACAGATTAACATAAACAAATTAAAGACCCAAATTGTTTTTAAATGTTCAAAACAAAACCAAATACCAAATACAGAAGCAGTGTGTGGAACTTAAAACATTCTTATTGCTTTGCTTCCATTGTGAAAAAAAAAAAAAAAAAAAAAAAACAAGGCACCAGTTCAGGTAATTTGTGGTACTTTCATAACCATTAGGTACTCACATATAGATTAAGATTCAGGATATCTTCTGATACAATAAATACATAAATAAATAAATAAAAAATAAAAAGTAGTACCATTTATGATCACAAGATGTCAGTATAAGTACATAAGAGCATTAGTCTGTGGGGGTTTTACAGTGTCCTAGAGGAAGAAATTATAATTGTGTTCTTTAAAAAAGTCATGGATTGAATTTTGAATGTTCACAAATTGATATACTATATAGCTTTGTATATTTTCTTACCTTTTGATTATATTCTCTTGGACCCCTTAATTGACCTTTTTCCAGTTTTTAATGTGCATGCTCAAGTCACTATTTTTCAATAGAGTAGATATATTCATGCCTACTTCTAATTTTTTGAAATACATTGAACAGTATTTATATTGACCTATGTTTCAGGTGTGCTCTGTAGTCATTACAACACCTGGCAATGGTACATGTTCAGGACATTTCACTGTCACAGAGTAAAACACCAATAACACAAATTTATAAGTACGTTTGATATGAATGTTAATTAAAAAAACAGGTACCTCTGAATGAATATGGGTGTGTGGTGCTTGATTTCCCGCATGCGCATTAATAACTGTAAAAAGGTCAGTGTGACAATGTGTTCATTATTAAACACATTTACTATTATTTATCAGGGGAAGGAACTATAGAGGCCATAAATTAAAGTAAGTTTTTTTCTTTTTTTACTTATTATACAGTGCTCTGAGTTAAAAACATGTTGCAGATCTATGCATCCTAATGCATTTTGTGGGGGAACCACAACCGACCCTTAAGTTGTTGAAAGTCATCTGCTAATAGCTCATTAGTTTTTAAAGGGTTGCTGTTAAATGGGCTGAAGTCAACGTAGTGTTCAGATGAAAGGTGCCACTCAAACGAGACCGAGAACAATGAAGCTGAAAGACAGTCCTCCCTTTTATTGTTTAAAAAGTACTTTAGTGCGTGGCCACACTTCCAGAAATTAAAAGGTTTTTCTCTCAGGGTCTTTGTCCAGATCCCATGCAAATAAATCAAATTATAGGCACCAGAAACATACTTTCCCTCTCAGTATCTGCATTTAACAATTTACCCTGTATGATAGATGCATAAAAGTTGACTAACAGTAAATATAGATGGAATACTCATACTCTTAAATGACGAGGAAAGTCCAAGTTCCTCGTGATTATGAGCTGCATAATAAAAGCTACAGTGTACGCCCGCAGCAAGAAGAGGAAATGTACATTTACTTGTCAAAATATCCCTTCTTACATCAGTGCCCAGTATCCACCCCAAATAGGCACGGAGTAACGTGTGTGTGGCTGCTTTGAGAAATTGGTCCCCGGGGACAGTTTTCTAGGTTAATTTATTCTGTATTGGTCTGGCAGAGGATGTACAGTCACCACTTTCAAACTGGGAGCAGGGCACATTTTGTGTGCAACGCTGCCTAAGATAACTTCTGCTGGCTCCTTGGGATGGCTACTGCCGGTTGACTCTGGCAGGCCATGAGACGGCTCGTTTATTTGTTTGTTTGTCCCATGAGTTCTTTTGGCTGGGTCGCTCGGGGCTCTGTTTTTCTGGCCCCGGTCCCCGGTTGGGCTTCTATTTCTGAAACCCAAGTGGCTCTTAATGAAGCTGGTGGGGTTGGCATGGGCCCTCAGCAAACCCAGGCCTGATCAGACCCTTCTTCTTCTTGCCTTGGCAGCCCCACTCCACGCGCTCCCTCTCTGCCTTCCTAATTTAGTAACGGTGGGTAAAAATATGCGCTAACGAACGAGGTCTGGTATGTCAGGCTGGCGTCCAGAGTAGGGGGGG